ATCCAATCTCAGCGACCGCGACACCAGAGCATCACGCTCACCCAACCGGCGACCACAAGGCTAAGGATCGGCACCCACCCAAGAATCAGAGACCACCGAGGCAACGAAGCTCTGCACCCAGACCAGAAGGAGCCGCAAGACCGGAACCCTATCTCCCCCCAAACCCCAAAATGGGAAGTTAAGGATGCAATTCGCACCGAGAGAGCGATGGAGCCGCCACAACGGAGATACCGGAGGAGAAACGCCCGCCTTCGCTTCCGGCAACGGACCGAAAACGACGCAAGTTCCTCCCCGGCGAAAAAGCCCTCTCCAACGTCGCAGCTCTCAGACGCGAATCGCAGGGCCCAGAAGAGCAGCCGCCGAGCACTCAAAGTGCCCTACCGGGGAAGGCTAATGGCGAGCAACAATTGAGGGAGACGAGCGGCGAAAATGGTTGCTAGGTTTTCCAGGGAGACGAGCGGCTTTTTTCTCTATTCGTATAGTTATGCAAGATCTAACTGATAAAAGAGAACAAATTAAATCTTTAAACAAATTTATATTATTTTTTCCCCCAAAACTAATAAGAAGATGCCAATTATATTTAAAACCTTTTTTATTATTTTTTCTTCATGAGTGATGCATATCAATTATCATATTTTTCCTCTTCAACAATTGTACCATTTTCCACATCTTTGTTAAACTATGACTAATCTATGACTACTAAAAATTTATCACATTGCTGTGTATTAACTTTTAATATAAAGACATGCGTAATACTTTCAATAAGATAATGAGATTTCTAAAATTATAGTTTGAAAATTCATTTTATGTTGGTACTAGTTTTAAAAAAGAACTGATTTTGAATTGAAAAAATGTAGAATATTTCTTTTGTTTACATATTTTTGCTGAATTTTTACTTTTTTTTATGTGTAATACATGATAACTTATAAATGGATTGATTACAATTAACCTATATAAAATTAAATTCTCAAAATCATCTATCTAAAGTTATATGGTATGATTAATTGTGCCTCTAGTAAAATAATAATAATAATAATAATAATAATAATAATAATAATAATAATAATAATAATAATAATAATAATAATAAAAGGAACAAGACTTCGAACCAATTATCAATTGGAAAAATGATTCCTTTATTGCATTTGGTCCCTCTTCCTCCTTTGGTCTCTCCCTTTTTTATTTTTTTTTTATTTTTTTTTTCCGGGCGTGATGGTCATTCGTTATGTCTAATTTTTATTATTGAACACGAATTAGTTCTTAAAAATGAGAGTGCTCGAGGCGTTATTCTTGTTTTTTTCTCAGTACATCATAATGTTCAGGACCAGCTATGGACACACCATGAAAAGAAAAGACAATTTATATTTTTCTATTTTATCTCCCACATCTTAGAGAATAAGTGAATGTCTTGATAATTGAGATTCTGATCGAGGTGGGTGTGTAACTATTTTGAATTGAAAAAAATGTAGAATAATTCTTTTGTTTACATATTTTTACTGAATTTTTACTTTTTTTTATGTGTAATACATGATAACTTATAAATGGATTGATTACAATTAACCTATATAAAATTAAATTCTCAAAATCATCTATCTAAAGTTATATGGTATGGTTAATTGTGCCTCTAGTAAAATAATAATAATAATAATAATAATAATAATAATAATAATAATAATAATAATAATAATAATAATAATAATAAAAGGAACAAGACTTCGGACCAATTATTAATTGGAAAAATGATTCATTTGTTGCATTTGGTCCCTCTTCCTCCTTTCATCTCTCCCTTTTTTATTTTTATTTTTATTTTTTGTTTCGGGCGTGATGGTCATTCGTTATGTCTAATTTTTATTATTGAACACGAATTAGCTCTTAAAAATGAGAGTGCTCGAGGCGTTATTCTTTTTTTTCTCAGTACATAGTAATGTTCAGTACCAGCTATGGACACACCATGAAAAGAAAAGACAATTTATATTTTTCTATTTTATCTCCCACATCTTAGAGAATAAGTGAAGGTCTTGATAATTGAGATTCTGATCGAGATGAGTGTGTAAGTTAGTGCAGTCTTTATAGAAAATGCATAGTACTCGTTGCACAATATTGGACATCTTTTCTTCAAGGCAAACAATTTTTTGGTGATTCTGCAATACGTAGGGGTGAGCATCAGTGTAGTTTGGTGAAAAACTGCATCGAACCACTAAAACTGAAAAGTGAACTTAGAAAAAAAGAAATAATTGAACCGCACCGCAATTTAAAAAAATCGAACCGAAACTGAACCGAATTTATTTAACACTAAAATAACCGAACCGCAATAAAATGCATGGTTCGGCTCGATTTGCGGTTTCATTTAGGTATTTTATATATTTTATTCAAATTGGTGCGGTCGGTGCGAAACTGCACTGAACCGAACAAAACCGAAAATCGAAATTATGAAAAACTATAATCGCACCGCACCGCAATGTAGAAAAAAATGAACCGAAATCAAATCGAAAACTTTTTACATTAAAAAAATTAAACCGAACAACACTGAATTGCACGGTCCAACTCAGTTTTGTTCATCCCAAGAGCGCATTTGCACTATGGGCCCCTGTAAAATGTTTTTAGTAATATAGCATATATATGTTACACGTACAAATGTATTATTATATTGACACAAAAATTCATGTTATTAATTGCTATGCAAAGTTATTTCAATATAAAAAATAAAAAGGAAATGTTTAGAATTATTTAACCTTCAATAGTATATTATTTTTTAAATTGTGAAATTTATGCTTATGTTATACTCAACTTTTCGTTTATTTTCATTTTCCCTCCCAAAATACATAAAAAAATAAATATATATTATACATAAATGTATATACTCTATATGGATTGAATCAAATATATTCATATTCTTAAAACGAGAATGTAAAACTCAACCTTATCAATTAAATAAGAAATAAGGTGTCTGGTCAACATTTAATCTTTTTTTTATATTAATCTTTTAAAATTTTTAATTCGTTAAATATTGATTTGACCGTTGACTTTTGGCGTTGACCGTTTATCGTAGTTTGTGCTCCCGTTGTCCTTAAAGTCTGCGTCTGCCCCCTGCACATCCCTAGCTATAGGTTTTGTTTGGGGGAAGGCGAGGATCAGAGATTTTTAAGAAATATTGTCTTAAATTGCACATTCCAGCTGCAATTTGTGGAAGAATCATAATCGCATGCAAGATAAACACACTCGGGTATCCACGTCCGTACACTTTAGAACACAACCTGTCAAACACGAATCGCCCAATTATTCACGCAAGATTCAAAAACTCTACATTAGTCGATAATATCCCTTCTGTATATTAATTCAAACCATGTTGAGTCTAAGTGGCAGATTCTCACGCTTCGGATGCTGATGGCGAAAATATAAGCATCGTAGTGTTACTTATGTATTCATTTTTGCTTTGGAGTTATACTTGACATTAGACATAAATAACTTTTTTTTTTTAATTTGGTAAGTATATATTTAATTTTGTTTTTTATTTCTCTTAGTACACATTTTCTTCTTAGTTTGAACAAGTAGTAGTCTTACCATATTATAAATTTCTCTCTTAAATTATGATTTACAAATCACTCTCACTGTTTATTCCTTTTTTTTTTTTTTTTCATCAATTAGTCCATCAAAATTTTAAAATAAAAACAATAAATTAACAAAAACTTTTATCATATATTTCTTAACTCAACACCCGTATAGCACACGAGTATTGTACTAGACGTTTTTTATTTCACAAAGTCTTCATTATATTTTGGTAAATAAAAAATATGTACTTATGCTCATTGGCGGATGTACGTTGTGCCTTGAGGACCAATTGCCCTCCTAAACTTTTACATATTTTTATTGGAATTGTATTTTTTTTTATTTTATTTTATTTTTACAAATTTTAAGTGTTATTTTGTCCCTCATATGTAAATTGCAGTTTTTCATTATGATAAATTATAAAATTAAAAGAAAAAAAAAATGTACCAACAATTGAAAATATTATAAAAACAAGTCAGCCAACAGAATTGGAAATGATTTCACATTAAGCTTTTTAGTCTAGTAACAAACAACTGCAACTGCTTATAATGTATTAGGGGAGATTCTATAGTCCCGTTACGGAATCATTCTGTCGGGGTTTGTAACTGTTAGATCAATTATTCATGAAGGTTACATGATGATCTAACGGTAACAAATCTCAACGAAATGTTCCGTAACGAAACTGTAGCATTTCCCAATGTATTAATTTATTAATGTGAAAATTTAGCATGCAGTTGCAAATGAGCCGAACTATGACTTTTTTGTATGACCTTTCTTAATCTTCTTAGAACATTTCGCCCAGCAAAATTTGTTATTTTAGCGATGTAAAATTAATAATAATAATATATAAATAATAGCAATGCTCGAAAATCCTGAATTCATCCTTGCTTGAAAATGCTATGAAACTTTATATTTTTGGTTAAGTTGTTTTTTTTAAAGTATAAAGATTATTGTAAATAAATGTTATATTTTTGTTTGTTTACTTAATAGTATAATATTTATTTAGAAGTTTATATATGAGTTCAAAATTATAATTATTCAACTGTTGTGAATTTATTTATTTTTTAAAAATTCCACAAACCAAATCAAAAAAACGCAGCCGAAAGCAAGGTGAGAAAGTCACGGTAGAGAAACTACCGAAAGCCCATTTTTTCCTAACCAGAAGTTAGAAACCCTTTCCCCAAAAACAACGGTTGCCCTTTGCCTTTATATGGCTGTTTGAGACACTTCAAATTGGGATTTTGACCAATCATAACAATTCTTTTTTTTTTTTCCCTCAAAACTGAAAAAAAGGGCCCTCTCCCCCACCAAAGATCTTCAAATGCATCACCACCTTTTCCCACAATAATTATACACCAATTTCTTCTCCTCCTTACATCTTCTCCATATTTCAATTTGATTATATTTGATCCATAAAAATTTAACAAAATCCTATTGATTAACATAACAAACAAATGAAGAATTCGAGATCGGGCAATCACCAAGACCACCATGCTGCCAAACGTCACGCATTTGGCAGCATGGTCCAACCAGACCAGGAAGAATACACATTTCGTCTCAGCAACTCGTCGGAATCCGGCCATCCCAACAACCACCACCACCACCACGCGCCGCCGCCTTCCTCTGACGACAGCTCCCCCGCTAGTAGCGGCCTCTTGGACCAATCCCCATTGATCCCAATAACCCCGGCCGCCTCCCCCCTATCCAAATCCCCATGGTCCACATCCCTCAACAACGAGCCCGAATCCTACAACTACACGGGCCTTATGGGCTCGCTCGTCCGCGAGGAGGGCCACATCTACTCGCTGGCGGCCTCCGGCAGCCTCCTCTACACCGGGTCGGACAGCAAGAACATTCGGGTTTGGAAGAATCAGAAGGAATTTTCGGGTTTCAAGTCCAACTCCGGCCTCGTCAAGGCCATCATCATCGCCGGTGACCGGATCTTTTCCGGCCACCAGGATGGGAAGATCCGGGTTTGGAAGGTCTCGAAGAAGGACCCAAGC